GACTGAAATAAATTTAGGAGATCTGATCCTTTCAGGATCCTCTGGAGCTACAGGGTGACTATCTTCTCAACCACTTCTCTAAAAAGGAAAGGCAGGGGACTAGACAGAAGCTGTCCAGATCAACAGGATCTAGCAAAGGTTTCTTGAGGAGGGGGGTCAGCCGCTGCCTCTTTAAGAGCTGACAGAACAACCCCCTCTCTCAAGGAAGCAGCAACCCCCATATGGGTCTGTCCACATGGTCCCTCCCTGGAAGTTTTAACCAACCAAAAAGCATGGATCTAAAACACAAGTGGACACACCAACTGAGGCCTGAGAAGCCTCAGGACTACTGGCTCAAAGTCCTCCCAGATAACTTTACAAGACCATGCCCCAGTCATTTCCAATGGACTTGCTCAACTGGAGTCCAATCAGAACAAATCCAAGCAATTTTATCTACCAGATGTTGAGAATATTCCTCCCACCAACCCTGCAGATGCTCTCCAGGCCCTTCCTGATCCAGGAAGGATTAGATTGCCCTGAACAGACCCAGTGGCATACACCGAGAGGACACAAGAACAGAAAAATAAGAATGTTTCACCATTCTTATTACTAAAAGTAAGTCCTAATAAAGACTCTTACGTGTTTCCAGTAGTGTCTTGACCCATGTCCTCAATTGCCTAAAAGCCTCAGGGGCAGAAATGTTCCAGTTAAGGGATCTTGGAGTATCCATTCTCAATAACATGCAAAGGGAGGGCCTCTAGTCTAGCCAGAGAATAAAGCTCTATGATGAGCAGAGTTTATCAAAAACTGGGAGGAGTTGGCTAGATTAGGGCTAATGGAGAACCTCCATAGTTTGAGCCACCTTGGGCCACAGTTAATGACACTTTGACACTTTGTATCAAAGATTCTCTTTTGTGGTCTTGCTAGCTTCATTGTAGTCCAATGATTGCAGGGCTTCCCATGTGAAGCCAATAGATGCAGTTTATCCCTGATATTTGATTGCATGATGAGTGAAATTTATCTCTCATTATTAGCCCCACTTAGACCATGTATCAATTTCACCCAGTACCTGGAAGTAACAACCCAGACCTGAGCTTCCACCTTTGCAACACCAAGTTCCAATCTTATTGGAAACATATTTAGGAACTGTAGAGAGCCATGGAGATGACCTTGAAGGGAATACTCATAAGACATTACAGAAACAACAAGGTGACAAACATTCCTTAAGCCCTGGGAAAGGAGATACAGTGGAACTTCGGGTTACGAACACTTCTGTTAACGAACTTTTCGGGTTACAACCAGCTCCGGCCACAAAATTTTGCTTCAGTTTGCGAACTCCGCCTCGGGGTACGAACAGGATACGCGGCCATTTTCCCTCCCGTGACATGGTCCGCGGCCATTTCCCGACCCTGACACGTGGTCCACGGCCATTTTTCCACCCCTGACACGTGGTCCGTGGCCATTTTTCCACCCCTGACACATGGTCCACGGCCATTTTTCCGCCCCTGACACGTGGTCCGCAGCCATTTTTCTGCCCCTGACATGTGGTCTGCGGCCATTTTCTGCCCCTGACACGTGGTCCGTGGCCATTTTTCCACCCCTGACACATGGTCCACGGCCATTTTTCCGCCCCTGACACGTGGTCCGCAGCCATTTTTCTGCCCCTGACATGTGGTCTGCGGCCATTTTCTGCCCCTGACACGTGGTCCGTGGCCATTTTTCCACCCCTGACACATGGTCCACGGCCATTTTTCCGCCCCTGACACGTGGTCTGCAGCCATTTTCCGCCCTGACACGTGGTCCGCGGCCATTTTTCCGCCCCTGACATGTGGTCCGCGGCCATTTTTCCGCCCTTGACACGTGGTCCGCTGCCATTTTCTGCCCCTGACACGTGGTCCGTGGCCATTTTTCCACCCCTGACACATGGTCCACGGCCATTTTTCCGCCCCTGACACGTGGTCTGCAGCCATTTTCCGCCCCTACACGGGGGCCGCCGGCCTTTTTCCGCCCCTGACACGTGGTCCGCGGCCATTTTCTGCCCCTGACACGTGGTCCGTGGCCATTTTTCCACCCCTGACACATGGTCCACGGCCATTTTTCCGCCCCTGACACGTGGTCTGCAGCCATTTTCCGCCCCTACACGGGGGCCGCCGGCCTTTTTCCGCCCCTGACACGTGGTCCGCGGCCATTTTCTGCCCCTGACACGTGGTCCGTGGCCATTTTTCCACCCCTGACACATGGTCCACGGCCATTTTTCCGCCCCTGACACGTGGTCTGCAGCCATTTTCCGCCCCTACACGGGGGCCGCCGGCCTTTTTCCGCCCCTGACACGTGGTCCGCGGCCATTTTCTGCCCCTGACACGTGGCTGTAGGGAGGGGGGCTCTCCCTCCAAGCAATAGCCGCCTCCCTGTCCTCCACGCCAGAACGGATTAACGGTAATTACATTGAACCTTATGGGGAAATTTCCTTTGGGTTGCGACCAATTCGGGGTGCGACCAGAGTCACGGAATGAATTAAGTTCGTAACCCAAGGTACCACTGTAGTATTAAATGAGACTTAGGCTGACCACTCCCTGACTCACTGGGGTATAAGAGGGAAGGGAGGAAAAGCACAACAGCTTGCAACATTCTGTTACTATAGCCTATCCCAATAAAGTTGTGGTCTTCCTGTGAAGTAGGTTTCCTGATTTGGTCTACCTTGTAAAGCTGACAGGAACCTACAGAATGAATCTTAAAAATCACCCTGTTCCTGGGCTGCCATTAATATAGGGATCCAATAAAGTAGTTATGCCATTTCTTTGGCCCCATATTGTTTTGGGGGAGATAGGATGTACTTCCTACCCTAGCAATTGAAAAAGAGAGAGAATGGCTTCTCTGAGCTACTTGGAACAGATAGTTTTAAGTGGAACTCTCACCTACCAGATTTGCAAAAGTTTATGCCTAGATAATTAAAGGACTTGATCTATTGTGTTACCATAGATGGGCCAGTTATACTCTTTTGTTTTCTTTAGAGAGTCAGGGAGATGGCTTTGAAGCAAATATTCAGAAACCATTATATAAACAAAGAGGAGAAAAGCATCCTGAAGTCCTGGGAAGGGAGGAGTATTAAGAAGAGACTCAGGCTCCTCCCTGACTCACTGGGGTATAAGAGGGAGAGGAGAAGAATTAAAACGACCCTTACAAGATTACTGTCAGCCCCTTGAGGTAGACCAGATCAGGAAACAGACTCCACAGGAAGACTAGAACTAAGCTCTATTGAGATAAGCTATAATAACAGAATCTTGAAGTCTGACTGTGTTTCTCCTCCCACCCCCTTATACTCCAATGTACTTTGTCACCCCCAAAAGAAAATTTCTCTCTTTTTGCCATTTTAATCCCCTGTCCCTTTCTTAATAAAAAAATAAATCAGCATATAACCTTTCAGATTTGTGTATTTCTTTTTCTTAATGGTTTTTGTGCCAGATATGGTACTTTTAAAACACAGCTGTAATATATCTTTACTATTTAAACTCTGCAATTTAAAAAAGCTACCTACTGAATTTAAGAAAAATGTATAGTAATTGAAATAAAAATGGAAGATTATGTTATGGCTGATCCTCAGACCTAGAGCACTTGAACACTTAAGTTCAGATCCTAGCTATGATTAAAGCATATTGTACATATGTTTGTAAATCCCCTAAACCTTTTTCACTTGGATTTTCATCTCCACTTAATTTGGGAGAAAAAATTAAGCTACATTTTTTTAATCTGTGAATCTCTGAAGATAGCCTTTGTTATATCACAATGGAATCCTTTCCTGAGTCAGAACTGATCATGAAAACAAAAGAAAACTATAATATTTTAAATCAAAATAATGGTTGGAAATGTGGCTCTGCAGTTTAAAAGTGTCGTAACAAAATTAAATCAACCATTCTATTTGGAGTTAGTTCATGTGTTCATTAGAAGCAGGAATTTAAAATTCTGAGTGACCCAAATACCTGAAATAATGATCTACCATCTTTAGGATGATTGGTAGCACTTACTGAAGTCATTATCCTCAGTCTATGTGGACAATCAGGTGTACAAACACAAGTTACACAGTGCAGAATGACTGTTCATTCCAGTAATTAAGGCATATTTGTGCTACCTCTTAGTCCACCAAGTACAAATACGCTTGTGTGTAATGTCTACGTTATTTCAAATAATACCGAATCTTGCCAAGCTGTCTCTGCCAACCTTTGAACATTGTTTTATCCTATGTTATATCTCTGTGGTAAAATTAACTCGTTCTTTAAGTTGGCAGGACTCTTTGTATGTTATAGTTGGCTAGCTAAGGACCAAATCAGATGTTACATTGACAGGCACATCGATTAGAAGTGACTTACTAGTAAATTAGTATGTAGGTAAGAGACAAAAGAGAATGGAAAGGACATCATGGATGGTTTGGAGGAATGTTAAACCAAGCTCTGGTAAATGAGGCTTTGGCAACAGAAATAACTCTTGCTGGGGAAAAGGGTATTTGGATAAAGCAGCAACAAGTAAAAACTCCGTGATCCAGGAGTTTTTGCTGATCCGTACTGGATTTTAAATCATTCCGCAAGTACATCCCACATTGTAATAATATGACCTGACCCACATAAAGTAATTTTGCCATCAAAACACTTAATTTGTGTGCACTGAAACAAAAGCTGTAAAATGAAATTTTTACATATTTCTGTGTCCCTTACTTGCCAATATCAGAATCATGCATTTGGATTTTTTTTTTCTCAAAAGTGTTAACAGAATAGGTGAAACTGATGTTTCTACTGACCTTACAGAAACCCCTATCAAGGACTTTATCCAAGAACCTTCTGAATTTGGTAGTGCTAAAATCTAGCAGCACTATCCATTAATTACAGGATTCATACAGTAATTCATAGAATTTAGTAAATTCTTAGTTTGATACTACATAAAATCAGAAACTGTTTGACTGCCTGTTAATAAACTTTGGTCTGTATATTGCCTCTTGCTCATGAGTGGTTTATATATTTTGGTGTCTGCAGACTGAAGAAGTCCTGAAGATTGATGGAGGGCCATGCTATTCAAACAGCAGGCGTTGCTGAGACAGAAGCTCCTTGTGCTAGGCAGCCTTGCTATTGGAAGCCTTCTATATCTAGTTGCCAGAGTTGGGAGCTTGGATAGGTAAGTCATTAAATTAGCATGTACCAGTGACACCAATAATTATAAATGGCCGTAGGTGCTTTCCCCACCCCCACCCCAATTTCCTCTTAAGCTTTGAATATAATTGAATAGGTTTCTAGCTCTTTGTCTTGCTGCTAACATCTAAAAAGACAATCTGCTGTAGTATTGATTTTCATTGTTAGTTTCCTTCTGTTTTAAGACAGGGAAGGCACAGGGAAACTGAAAGAGCGTTAGCTTGCTGAACCCAATACGTTGGTGCCTGTCCATTTATATTCCACGTGCATTGGCAGTTGTTTTCGGAAGGAAAGTAACGTGGCATACAGTAAAAATGTCACCATGGTAGCTCAGTTTTTGTGTGTGATCACAGGCTAACCTCAACTTTCAATAAACAGTAATATTTGTACATTTTCCTTTCTGAAATGTATGAGTGGGCATTTAATATGGTAAAGTGGTAGTTAAACTTGTGCAGAAGCCTGCAGAGTTTGCTTGTCAGCCTTGAATCCTATTGCACTAGAAGGATTGCTGAAGGATATAGAGGATTTTTTAAACTCTGTTAATTAGATTTTGGTGGGGGGGGGTTTTTTTACTATTTTATTTTTGTTCTTGAGTTAGATGTAGTGAATGAAAA